ATCAGTGGCACCTACGTTAATTAAACAGTTCCCTTTCCTTCCATGTTCTTAGGAATGGTTGTTTATATTCTATAGCACAAGTTGCCATCTTAATATCTCGTCCCCCTTTCTCTCTCTTTCTCTCTCTCTTTCTCTCTTTCTCTCTTTCTCTCTCTCTCTGTCTCTTCCTATTTCCTTCTCTCTCCTTTTTCTCCCTCTCTTTTGCTCACTCACGTTTTTTCTCTTCCCTCTCTCTGTTTCTTTTTTTCTTCCTTTACTCTGTCTTGCTCTCTCTCCATCTTTCTCTCTACTGTCCTCCTGTACTCTCTTTCTTTCTCATTTATTCTGTCTTACTCTGTCTCTCTCTTTCTCTCCCTTCTCTCCCCTTTCTGTCTTGCTCACTCGCTCCTTCTTTCTCTGTCCTTCTCTCCCCCTCCCTCTGTGTCTTTCTCTTATTCCATCTGTGTTTCTAATTCTATACATAGTCTGTTCAGCATCAGAAAGGCGGTAACTGTGGTAAAGCATATAGCTGAACACCCTTCTGGCTCTATAGGAGACAATATCTCCCCTTTTCTATCCCCTATCCCCCTATTTCCCTGGCACCCTCTTCTAATGTCATTTTATTTCTCTCTCTCTCAGTCTGTCTGTCTGTCTGTCTCTGTCTTTGTCTTACTCTCATTTACCAAGTGCCTCTCCTAAATCTTTCCTTCTCACTTGCCATGCCCACAAGTTTCCTGTTTCTATCGTCTCAAATATTTAGTCTTTCTGCGTCTACTGCGTGTCTTTAATTCATCTTCATTCTCTCATTTTCCTTATTTTTGGTTTTTGTTGTTGATAGAATTAAATATCTTTCCCATTACTATCTTTACATCAATCAAACACAAATTGGCAAATCTGTGACATAACTTGTGAGGTCCCCTTCCCATTTGCTGTAAATTTAAAAAAAATATATATAGATATTTTCCCTTAAGAAATTCTTAATCATACAGAATATTCACTCTAAATATAATAATTGCAAATATGTTTTTTTCTGCAACTCCTGTATGAAACAAATCAATAACTAAGAAACTGAAAGTTAATTACATTTTCTGTATAGAGCAACTTGGAGAGGACCTCACAAGATAAGTCACAGTGTTGCCAATTTGTGTTCTTCACTGATGTCAACTTCAAAACTTCATAAACTTCCTATTTTTAACTAGATATAGCTCAAACTTTCTCTAATTTGTTTCACCCATTTTTCTGGTTTTATTAAAACCAACTTGATATCAGGTCGCTTCCCCTTTAAACAGATGTTCATAATTCTAGCCACCATGCTCATTTTTCAACTAAAATCAAAGAAATATGACTGATGTATTTTAAGCTGCACCTCAAGTACTATACATGGTAAATGCATGTGTAATATAGAAGGAGGATGAAATGTTGTGAGCTGAAATAAATTGGGAGAAAAATACTGACAGGCCTTGAAAGGAAATTGAATTCCTCCGTTTCCTGTCCCAAATTAAAAACTGCACACAGATTTGATTGAAGTCCAAGAAGAGAGCCATTAAATAATGTCTGGCTACAGTTGGTTTGACACTGGGATGAAAGGAATTCAACCCTCTCGCTGTCCTGATCGTAAACGTGAATCAAGGAGATTCTGGGAAGGTTATTGGCCGGGCTGTGAGTGAACTTGAGGCTACCGGAGTACTCTATAAGGATAGTCTGAATTTACAAACTCTGACATGTGTTACTGGGCAATGATTAACTTGTTTTGAAATGCCAGACTTTGTAAGCAGTCACCCTGCTTGAAACCATTTTAGTACCCCTCTTGGAACTGAATTTTTTGTTGTATCTTTGTCATCTCCAAAAACGAGTCTTTTTTTTAAGCTTTTCATAAGCTTTTCATAAAGCTTGAAATTGGAACAATTAGAGAATGTACACTAAACTGTAATAAGTGTATACAGTACTCCAAACAATATGTCTACCGGTAACTAAAAAGAAAAAAGATTTGTAACTCTTTAATTGCAGGGTCCTTAGTTACCTCAAATTCATGAGGCCTACCACCACCCCTCAAGAAATGAAAATTGAGTTTTACATTATACCATACACCTTTTTGAAAAATGATGAGTATCATTCAAACATTAACTAAAAACATGATTTCATGTCATTCAGGAGAAGCTGACTAAATCAAAGACAATAAACCTTTAAGTAATTAAAAGAAAATATTTCCTTAGCTTAATATACTTTAATAATATACTAAATCAGCTTGATTGATCTTTGTTGGTTAATTTACACATCTACAACAGTGCAGTTCTTCACTTGTGAACAGGTTTAAACCATTCTAGGATGTAGCTCCTGACCATTGCTAAGCAAGCTAGATGTGGTGTGTTGAGGAAATCACAGATTTGTCGCTGGCCCCTTGAATGATTATCTCCTGTCCAGACCAAGTCCACGTTCAGGCTGTTCCAAATTAGATCCAGAAGAAAAACAAAACAAAAATGCTGACCAGGGTCTAATTAATGCAGTCCAGCAGGCAAATAGG